GTGTGTGTGTACGGCTGCAAGCATGGGGGGTGTATTGTTTTATGCACACGGGTGCTTTAATGGTTTGCTTATCAATGACTCTTGAAATAATGCGTTCATGTTTGTGTCATTAGAGCGAGTGGGACTGAACGCATATGGCTTTCTGTGTGTGTGTGTGTGTGTGTGTGTGTGTGTGGTTGTTTTCAACAACAGCGAGTCATTGGACTTTCAGTGAACCGCTCAAAGGCCAGTCAGGGATTGGCCTTGAGTGCACTGACTTGGATATTGACTGTGGAAAACAATGTGTCTCAGAATGAGGGCTTGAATTCATGCTGTGGAACGTGATTATGTTTTCGGCTTTTGCATGGTTTACAGCAAATAGGACTGTTGCAGCTCAAGTCTATTTTTAAGATCCTCCCTCCTTACCTCCTGGGAGCTCGTGGCAAGAAGAGCTCCTACTTTCTTGGAGAGAACGGCTCCACCATTAAGGAGGCCGACGAGAGCAACCCCTCTTCATCGCCGCCAGGACACTAGATTAGGCTAATTCCGATTATGCAAATGAAACACTCTCTGGCAAGGATTACAGGACACAGTATGAGAAAGAAAGGGAGAGCATGGTGAAGGCAGTGTGGCAGACTGAGAGGAGAGTTTGGCAGAGTGGGAGAGGAGAGAGAGAAGGGAAGGATTCAGTTGGAAACAGAAGAAAGGAGGAGATGGAGGAGAAATGGGAGCAAACATTACACCAAAGGCAGCAGTAAAGCAAAGAGTTAAATCCTATTCAAGGGCTTTGGGAAGTGTGTCTATTGAGGTATTTTTTGGCGAGTGACAGGCAGCCTTTCTTTGCTGACAGCTCAGACCACCCCTTAATATTCCAAACAAGCTGTGAAAGAAAAGGGGTCCAGGCTTTTGGTCACTGTCAGACTCCACAGCTTTTAATAGCTCATGTCACAGATAGAAGTTTAGCTCTCGAGGTGCCTTTCTAGGTTGGGTTTATTTGAGTTTTCTTCACCTGCTAAGTTTGCAGTTTCTGTTTCCGAGCATGAATCATGCAGACTTCTAGATCTCACCTGTTCAATAAAAACTTTGCAATAGTCAGTGTGACCTAGAAGAACTCAGTTTTACTCAGCTGCAGCAAGAAGATGTGTTTTAAAAGAGGCTTCCTGAATGAGAAGATATTGTAATTACACCGTTGTCGACTAGACACTATAATCAGATTCACAATTTTCAAAAACATACTGTGCACTTGGACTGGAATGAATCATTCACTCCCTAATATGCACGTACGGATTACTGAGCAGACCCAAGTGGGTCAAGAGGTCCTCTACGCTTTTCTTGTTTGAAAGTCAATGGGTTCAGTCAAACGAAGGTGCGACTTGATTGCTTTTGTATCTAATCCTTGTGTGATCTCTTAATAACACACCTCCACTGATACCATCACCATTTGCAAAAACAGCATGTGACATTCATGTTTTCAAATGTGAGCTATCATGTTGAACATATGAATACATCAGGGGCAGCCATGGAAACTCAATGAATTTTACTCATGCATGTCACATGTGAAATGTTGTTTTTCACAGGTCATGTCTCTGCAGCTCATCCACATGTGGATTCATCAAGCGGGAAAATACATGAAAATTTAACACATGAAATACAGAACTGGACGATATCACCTAAATTCATCGTCATGTTTGTTAAATTTACCTCAGTAACAATTCATTTAAAAATGATTCTTAAAATACACTAAGGCACAAAATCTGTCTAGAATGTAGACATACTTTAATTATTCGCACAAAGGTATAAAGCAACAATAAGTCATGTATAACATTCAGTTCATATTGGTACTGGTAGCTGTTGGACTCTGGACCTCTTTTTGAATCGTCCCTTTCATTAATTTCGTTGTTATTCCAACAGCATTTTGCTGAATCAAAGCTCAGGGTTTCAGCGTACGCCTTCATCGGGGGTCAAACTGGAACAACGTGATGTGAAAACTCCATTCGTCGCGGCACCATCTTGTGGTCAAATCAAAGCAAATGAAATTAACCAAAAAAAACAAGCTACAATCAATTTTTGGTATAATTTCACAAAACATAAATCAAAGCTAAACAATCAAAGGCTTGATTCAGTCCATGTGGCAATGGTATGTTTAACTGATGTATCTGAAAGGCTTCACAGGAGCACCTATTGACTGTGTTGACAAAAATTGTGTGGGCTCAGTTTCAGAAAATGTTTTGCTAAAGTAAAGTAGCAAGCGGATGAAATCAACAAGTGTGCAGAGACCTCCCACTTCAAGTTCGGTTACTCTTGTTCTCGACTGTTAAACAACTTTGACTCACTGAGCGGACTGTCATATTCACTGGTCAGGCACATGGTGAGCATTGCCTGAAATAAAAAATGAAACTACAGGATTCTTTCACATTTTTTGTTACCTCATAAAATAATAATTTTAAAAAATGGTACCTTTGATACGTAGAGTCCTTTGCATTTCCTAAGAAAAGCGACCTACCAGATTACGTCAAGTCGTGTTAGCAGCCACCTCTGTAACAGACTGAAACGTCCTCAGGTGCGATTTTGCCATTTTCTGCCGTTCCCTTTTGCTACACCATGGTTGTGTTTAACTTTAATCTTGCAGTATTTGCGTATAGCTTCATTCTGATCATCTTTACGGAAGCCAAAGCGTGCCCACATGATCGACACCTCTTCTTTGCTCTGCAGCCTGCCAACTCTTCCTTGTCTGCACTTGTGACTGCTTCTGTTTCTCCAACACTTGACTGCTTTTCACTGTCTTCATAGTTGAATTGCATTGGCAGGAACACCTAGCTGTGAGCTTGGAGCTTGCCAACAGCCTGAGTGTGTGTAGGGGTTTGTGAATGTGTGAACGTAAACAAAGATGGTGAACACATGCAAACTGAAAACAATGAGTTGCTTGTTGGTAGCGTAAGCTTTGGCTCGTCGCTGAAGTTATAAATCAAGCTGAGGTGGTTTCTGAGCATTACAGGGATTGTTCGGTTTCTTCAGTGAGGTTGTAAAAGGTACGTATCCATATTCAGTGCATAGATCACAGTCGGCACGTCCTCGATTTGGAGAAGCAGACAGGAATCCCTGCACGGAAGTTAAGAAATGACCTGTTGTGGACAGAGCCAGCAGCACATTGTATTTTATCCAGCTAAAAAAAGGCCCAGCTAAAAAGATCCAGATCCGTTTAAGTGTGCACTAAATTTAGAGTATTCTCACCACCTTGCCTTGCCTGGCAGACAGCCCTTTCCTTTGGCGCTACATTTTTCCAAGCAAAGAACTTTCATATTCCTACGCACCCATGCCGCGCGCTGTATTACACTGCAGATCAGCAGTGTCAGTCAGTCTTCCAGCATTTTTAGTTTAGGAGCAGATGCTGTGCTGTTAGAAAAAAAACCCGCTTCTCAGTTTTCCTGCAATATTTTTGGAGTGAGTTCGACACACCATCCCAGTAGCTTTACAGAACCTGTGAAGAGGCCTATTCGTGTGCACCAGCTGTTTCCGACTTCCTTCATTTACTGTATCTGTGCATGTCGTCATAACAGAAACGCTGCCAGATAATCAGCAATAGACAGCTCAGGGTCGATGACTTGAGTAAACACAACATACAATACACTTCATTGTGCTGATCAAGTGACATTTATGCTAATGAGCATCTTTTAAATGTCTGGGAAATTAAATTAAATGCTACTCCTGCCACTAAATTAAATTTTCCTCTGCACTGCTGCTGTAATTCCAGAACAGTAAATAAAGCGAACCTGCAATTGACAACTCTGTGGGAAACCTCTTGATACAGCAGAGCCCCCTGCAGTCTGCAAGTCAGCGGCTATACACTTCAGCTCGGTCGGCAATCACAGCTCCTTTTTTGCATTCACAGCGAGACTCGCATTGAACGTCAGCTCGTTGTGGCGTGCTGATGCCACAACAAAGGATTCAATTTTTATTTTTATTGTGATTTTTACTGTTTTTGCACACCTTTATATATAGTATATATATTTAGAAACATAGTTTAGCACATCTTATTTGACAAAAACGACATTTAGTTCTGAATTCAAGCACTTTATGGGTAAAATATCAGCTAAATATGAAATAACACTTGATGAAATTTACATCTTTGTTAGCAGGTTTGAAACATGGAGATGTTTTCTGCGTTAGTTTCTGCTGCCCCCTGCTGGTGGTTAAAGGATATAGCAGGTCATATGCGCTCCTCTCTGTCAGGCTCACTGTAATATTTAGTCAATATAAAGTCCACAAGGCAGATTAGGATGGATCTTGTTGTCTCACCAGGTGTATTCATTCTGATTTAGAAGAAGCGTTGTTTATATTGTGGCCATATGAAAGGACTCAGGCATGCTTAGTTACAAAAGTCACTTTGTGTTAAATTAAGCCTTCTGTTGTTCGGGGATGACTGTGTGTCTTAATGGGAACAATTCATCAAGTCCTGATCTGCTCATGAATACACACACACAAACACGCAGTAATGAAAAAAACAAAAACAAACACATCTGTTCATACAATGGAAGGTGAGTTTATCTTTGTTACACTACGCTCAGATTGGACCCTCAACGTGAAGCCCGGAGAGTGAAGGACACCATGACTGTACTACAGAGGGGGGGAGAGAGAGGGGACACAGAAGGAGACAGAGAGAGAGTTACTGGCATGGAGCGAAGGTCAGGATGAGAGAGGAAGATACCCCCTGGGAATAGAGAGACAGGGGGGATAAAAAGACAAAGATAGAGAGAGGCAGGTGAGGGCTCACTGTAGGAAAGAGCAGGAAGGATAGAAAGTTTAGAAGAGAGCAGAATAGAACTGTAATAGCCAACTGTGAGGTGCGTATGGTGAACAGCTGTAGTCGGTGCAAGTTTGGATGTTTTGACTGCATTGTTGTTATATTATCTGTAGTTATCGATTATTGAGAATTAAAAAAGCACTAGACAGGACTAACGGAGAAAAGTTCAAGACAGAAAGGCTCGAGATAAACAACGAGGCCGGAGGAAGGGAAAAATAAGATGGAAAGAGAAGCGCAGGGTGAGAACAGCTTACACACTATAGCCATCATTCTGCTGTGCTGTGGGGCCGTCAAAATGCTGCACCTACTGGGAGTCATCACTGTGGAGGGTGAGTCGTTATAATACTGCTACTGTTATCAACCAGGAGCAAAGTTTTTCACTTCTGTTTGACTGTCAGCTGGCAAGTTATTGACAAAAAACAGCAAATCTCTATTATTAATGTGTGAATGTTGGATAAGTGGGACTTGTATTTTTCCCACAAAACAAAAAGAGAACAATAAATAAATAAACAAAGACTGAATAAATACAAACTGCTGCCGGGTGTTCAGTCGTTCAGTATTGGTGGAGATTTGCACTCGGCAAATAACAGCATGGATTCTGAGCTGCTGTCAGTAGCTACTCATAGCACAGACTTAGTATAAAAGGCATGTACAATTTTTTCCTGATTTAATGCTCAGAATCAGCAGCTGACTCATATATTAGTTTGTCCACTAAAAATATTGATGCTGCAGAACTCAAACATTCCTATTAATGTCTGATGTCATGAAATACTAAGAAAATGGAACCTAGCGTAGACACAAATCAATAAAAGCTAAGAAATTTTCTCTTTGACCACTGATCTGTTCATACACAGCTGTTTATTTTCTACTTCTGTCTTTTGTTTTCACCTTTTTTTTGTATCTAAAAGGAAGGAATGAATGACTTTTCAGTCCATGAAGACGGTAAAAAGAGCTTCAGATATAGTTTCTCTCTGATCACCAGTTTGATTACTGACTAATGCTGATTTTCACACTTATATGCCAACAAGTGAAGTCAAGATGGTTTTATTTGTCCTGCCCAAAATCACACATTTGCCTTAAAGTGCTTTATTTTCTATGGTAAGATGATGACCCTCTCTCCTCAGATCTCAGTATCATTGTTCAGCAAGTTTACACATGCTGTGACATCAAATGATCTTCATGATGTAGTACCGTGAAATTCTCAGCAATACATGCTACTGCTGTAATATTAGCCATTAAAAAAAAACCCAACAACCTCATATTATTGTGGCTTTTTAAGAGGCATAATTGTACATTGTACTTTGAGGCAGAGCATCTTGTGCAGTGGTGGTTGTCAGTGTTGAGTGTTGAGTGTGACGGTCACTGTGCTGGTGTCATCAGCATTTTCACACAAACTGTAGAGGCACAGCGGGGCCTGTCACAGGAGTAAATGTTCTGTAGGTGCATAAACCCCATGCTGTGCAGATGAATAATGTAAAACCAAAGCAAAAAAGACTAAAGGAGTGGCAGTTGTTTTTCCAGTGAAGAAAAGCTAAATCTGTGTTTTCCATGCGTATGTTTTGTATTGCATTGTGTGTTGTGTGTTTTGCTGTGTTGCAATTGCACCTCAGCTCAGACAGAAGTCTGAACCGCCCCCCTAATGTGACACTGACAAAGTCTGATCTGCCTGACTGATTAATCTAATGACCTTCAGGAGCTGTGTGTGGCTGCACGCACAAATGCTCGTTTGTGTGCATGTGAGTGTGCGTGCGTGTTGAACTGTGTGTACAAAGAGAGCCTGCTTAGCAACTCAACCTGACAAGTTATAAACAAAGCCATAAAGTCACATTGCTCCCATATTGTAGAATGAGTGGGCACAATACAATGAGCTCTTAACACAACCACACACTATATTCTCTGTTATCGACTACAAATTGAAGTTATTGCTTTTAATACAATTGCATTATTTTGTCCAGTGATATCAGGTTCCACAAAGCGTCTGTGGTACCACGTTTCACTGACAAGTTTAGATCAGCTGCTCAAAGGGCTGTAACGTCATAACCGACTCTAAAATCCAAACCCACTTTTAATGGCTCAAGTCACGATGACTGACCTCGGCGTAAGTGCTTTCTACGATGCATAAAGTGGGAACACTGGATACTGAATCTGAAAAAGGCTCGACTGATGACTGAGGCTTAATTTAGCAGTGATATAAAGTTGTCTTTGCCTTGCGCAGTAAAATGCCGACCCATGATTCATTGAGAGAACAGAACTGAAGAGGCACCGGTGTAATGAAGCTTTACAAAGCGCTAATGGCTTTGCCACACAGATAAAAATGTCTCTATTTCTAAACTGTTAATGCTTCAAAATCTGGATTGCCAAGGACAGAGTGAACCTTACACTCTGTGACACTCAATCAAAGCTGAGCAGAAGTCCTTAAAACGCTTTGTGTCTTGTGCTGTGCGTGATGACTGTGCTGTTCTCCATTAAAACCTCTCTCTGCTAGAAATCTGATGATCATTACCAGTGAAATAATCAATGTTCTGTCCCAGGATTTTGATGTCGGCGGCCATAAATCAGACACTGACTATAAAACTGGTGTGATGAATATGATTTTTGCATCAGTGTTAAGTAGACACAGGAGTATTAAACTTGATCACCATGTAGGTCAGCTCCAACAAATAAACTGGACAGCACTATATTGACAGATGCATGTTGAACTGGGTGCAGAGATATGTGTTAACAGAGCCAAGCGGCCAAACCTCACATATTATAAAGATATACATTTCAATCATAGATTTTTAAAATAATTTATGAGTCTTTTCTCTTATGCTGCTTAACCACACAGGCATTATTCTGGAAGGACCTTCATTAAACATGGCATCTCATTATTTAAACACCGCTAAGAGTTTTTCCTTGTCTTTCTTTTCCTTTTTTTTTTTTTAGGTCCAGCCTTTTACTACTTCACATTATGACCGCTTTATCATATTCGCAATTTTTATTACTACTTCTATTAAATTATGCACAGCTATAACAGTATGCATAATTATTACACTGTAAATCGCCTCAGGGAATATGTTCGCTCGTTCGGATGCGTGGATGACTGTCAGTGAGAGAGCGAGAGGGTGTCTTGATTTTATACTATTATGTTCACCTATAGGCACTGTGTGTGTGTGTGTGTGTGTGTGTGTGTGTGTGTGTGTGTGTGTGTGTGTGTGTGTGTGTGTGTCACAGTCAATGGTGTGTCCTCTCTCCCCTCCCCTGCAGCGAGGAGAGTAATGAGTTGTTAATGATAGGACCGGTGAGAGGAAGAACATAGAACTGCTAAACTGACCTCTACCTCTCTGAACCCCCATCTTTCATCCTCTCCTCTCCTCTCCTCTCCTCTCCTCTCCTCT